TTTAGCTTTTCCTTATCTGTGAAGCTCTTTATCTGACCTTCAATTCTGAATGATAGCTTTGCTGGATAAAGTAATCTTGGTTGTAGGTTCTTGGTATTCAGCACTTTGAATATTTCTTGCCATTCCCTTCTGGCCTGCAAAGTTTCTGTTGAGAAATCAGCTGACAGTCGTATGGGTATTCCCTTGTAGGTAATTGAGTCTCTTTCTCTTGCTGCTTTTAAGATTCTCTCTTTGTCTTTTGCTCTTGGCATTTTAATTATGATGTGTCTTGGTGTGGTCCTCTTTGGATTCCTTTTGTTTGGGGTTCTCTGCGCTTCTTGGACCTGTAAGTCCATTTCTTTCACCAGGTGGGGGAAGTTTTCTGCCATTATTTCTTCAAATAGGTTTTCAATATCTTGCTGTCTCTCATCTTCTGGCACCCCTATTATTCTGATGTTGGTACGCTTGAAGCTGTCCCAGAGGCTCCTTACACTATCTTCGTATTTTCGGATTCTTTTTTCATTTTGCTTTTCCGGTTGGGTGTTTTTTGCTTCTTCGCATTTCAAATCTTTGACTTGATTCTTGCGCTCCTCTGGTCTGCTATTGGGTGTCTGTATAATATTCTTTATTTCAGTCCGTGTATGCTTAATTTCTAGTTGGTTCTTTATCATAGCATCGAGGGTCTCATTAGTTTTCGTGACTCTCTCCTCAAGTTTATTGACAGCTTCTAGCACATTTTTGCAAGCCCTCAAAATTGCGATTTTTAGCTCTATATCCTCCATTTCTGTCATGTTTTTTTGTCTCCGCATTTTTTATGCTTTCTTGGTGCACCCCCTAGTGGTCTTTGTGCGCAGTCTTGTTCTAGTTGAGCCTTGATTGTTGTAGTTAATACTAGAGGGATTTGACCACCAGGCCGACTGGCTGTGTGAATCAGCTGTGTCTGCCGCGGAAAACTTCTGTCCTCTGGGGAGGTGCTAATCTAGCCTTTGCCTGAGGCGATCCGGCAAATGGCTCTGCGCAGGGCTTGGGCGGGGCGGGCTCAACAGGGCGGGCGGAGGGAGCGGTTATAGCCCCTCTCAGTCCCGTTCCCAGAGGCTCTGCTTCTCAGAACCCCAGGAACCGCTGCAAACCTCGGAGAGAAAGCTGCCTTCCAACTGATGCCAGACACTCCCGCTTCTCCCGTTTGGGTCCGAGTCCCCAGCGATTCGCCCGTATCTGGAGCTCAGAGTCTGAGACTCCCCCCTGACCGAAAACGACAACCGCGCTCTCAGCCACCAGCCCGCTTTGCGCGCGCACCTCCGCACCTGAGTATTTTCCACACTGCGCCTCCTCTGAGCCTCGGTGTGCTGTTATTTTTCCTTCTAGTTGAAGAGTCTCTCCTCAGCCAGCCTTCCTGTGGTTCTGGGTGATGTCCGTTCCGTCTTTTAGTTGTATTTTTGAAGTGGTTGTTTGCGGCAGCAGTCTCCGGTGTTTACCTATGCCGCCATCTTGGTCTCTCTCTCGTGTTTGGGTATTTTTTAAAATTGAGTCAGTGTTATCAATCTTATATTTTGTTGCCTCTGGACAGTTGCAGGCCTTCCCTATACTATGGTTATACAGGAATTCACTCTGCTTTCTTCTTGTATGGAAAATTTTATTTGCAAAAACATCCAGATAGTTCCATATGCTTTCATTTCTATCTCTGATCAATTTGGAGTTTATTTTTGTGATTGGTGTGAGGTAAAAATATAATTATTATCTTTTTCAAATACAAATGCAATCATACTAGCACCCTTTATTTAAAAGTTCTAGTTCTTTATGTAAAAACTAGTCCTTTATTCGTGCACTGGCAGGGTCCCTCAGCCTGGCCTGCACCCTCTTGCAATCCAGGACCCCTCAGGGGATGTTGGAGAGCAGGTTTCGGCCGATCCCCGCAGGCTAGGCGAAGGGACCCCACCGGTGCACAAATCTGTGCACAGGGCCTCTAGTATGCATATAAGATCTTTATTTAATCTCTTCCCATCCTTCCCCTACCCCCCTTCCCTCTGAGTCTCATCAGTCTGTTCCATGTTTTCATGCCTATGGTTTCTGCTCCTGTGTTGAGTGTCTGCCCCACGGTGGTCAGTGCACGTCATAGCTACCAGTCAGAGGGTCAGACAGTCAGGCAGTCAGATGGTTGTTTAGGCTTTTATATATATAGATTATTTCCTAGTCATTTGAGATGCAGCCTTTATGTACATATGCAAAATTTCCATATGTACTTGGATCTATTTCTGGACTTTCTATTCCATTCTCAGGTTCAGCTGTCTATTTATGGGCCAGTTCTGAACTGTGTTAATTATATAGACTTGGTAGATGTATTAATATTGAATAGGATTACTGCTCTGTCATAGCTTTTCTTTTCTAGTTTTATTAATAACCATCCTTGAATGTTTATTTTTTTCATATAAACTATCTTATCAGGTTTTCTAGCTCCATAAAAATGTGTTGGTATCTCTACTGAAATTACATTAAATTTATAATTTAATATAAAGAGAGTTAGCACTTTTTAAATATTGAATTGATTTATCCCAGAACAAGGGATGCCTTTTCATTTGTTCAAGAGTAGACTATTGTCTTTCAATAGTGTGCAAATTTTTTCTTCATAAAAATTTTACACATTGATTGCTAAGTTTATCTTTAAGTGTTCTATCTCCTTTGTTGTGAGGTTTTATCTATGATTATATCCTCTGACTGGTTATTGTTTGTGTGTGTGGAGCTACATTTTAATTTATATTCTAGCATGCTTATTCTTTTATTGTTTGAGAGAGTTTTATCATTGATTCTCCAAGAATACAATTATATTATCTATAAATGGGAGGTGGTTTTACTTCTTATGTGATTTCTTTTGTCTAAATGCATTGGCTAATACCTCCAAGGTAATATATACACACATACATAGATGTACATATATATTATACATATATAACCCATGTTATATATTTTGAAGCATGTTAATAAAGTATTTGGTATTTTCTATTTTTTTCATGGTTTTTCATTAATGAAAAAAGTGGGTGCTGAATTGTGTCAAAAACTTTTCAGCATCTGTTGAGATAATCATAGATTCTTCTCCCTGGATTGATCAGTATTGTGTATTATACTAATGGGCTTCCTCATATTGAGCAGACTCACACCCCTAGAATGCATCTCCCATGGTCACACTGTATTGTTTTCTGAGTGTGTACACTAATCTTCAATCTATAAAGGCCAAGTCTCTATGGCAGTGTCCTGCAAGGAATGAGATCCCCTAGGACACTTGAATTATATATTTCTATTGAATCAGAACCTCTGGGGAGGGTCCCAGGATTCTGCTTTTACTGGACCCCCCACAGGTGGTCTTTCTACACACTGAGAAGCATTGGTCTACTTTATTGCTCAATGTGGATATTTTATGGGAACTTACTGCAAAAATGGTTATTTTGGCACAGGATTTGCTCCATGATTCTTTTAAAAAGCTGCTTTATGTCTTATAATTTTAGATTCTAGATCATGAGCCAACTGCAGGAAAGTAGATGATACAGAGAAACCAAAAGATGAAATACTAGCTGCCACCTGTTTACCCATTCATCTCCTCACCCGTTTATTCAACTTCGTTAGTACTATGCAAGGATTAGGGATACAAAGCTGCGTAATACCTCTGCAACAGTAGGCAAAATGGAGGATTAAATAAATGTTCGTAAAAGAATATATTTGGCATTATATTAGAAAGATTTTCCAGGAATTTTATGGGCATGAAGGGCTTCAAAGAGGAGATGCTCCTCTCTCTGGTTCAAGGAGGAGGCCGTGCTTTGTACAGAACATCTTTCCAATAGGACAGTAACAAATGGAGAAAAATTTATTTGCAAAAATCTCCTTCACATGAAACTGTTTGGAAATGCATCTCCCACACACGATGTACTGGAACACCAGCACATCAACTCCTGGCAAACACAGCTGCAAGATCACCCATAGAGGTGGGGGGAGGGTTATCTGCAAGTGGAGGAATCTCTGTATACAACCTGTGAAAGAACTTCTCTCCAAGATACCCATATGTAATAGAAACACTGAATAACATCAGCAGTAAAATAGAAAACATTAGTAATATGTGGAAACTTCAGTAAATGGAATATGAACTCCATTGGTTCTATTAAAGTGCTTTAGATTCTTACAAAAAAAAGATTTACATCTCTTTCTATTAGAATTTGTGATGGCTTGGTTCCACTTTATTTATTATAGTACCAGACTTTGCTCATCTAAGACAGCTGCTCTGTGGGGGAGGGTTCATACAATCTTGTGGCTGCCACTCAGGTCAGAACAGTGGTTATGGGTTAGCTTGGTATGGAATGCATTTCGTATCACATGAATGGCCCTCACATGATGAGAGGGCAATGCATTAAAGTACAAACCTGGCTCTGCTTGCTCTGAAGGAAAGTCTCCCAATGTAGCCAGGATTCCTTTCATGTCCTAATTGTAATAATTTAGAAGGAGGAGTGTTATTTAATTGCCAACATTTTTATTTACCCAAAGTCTGTAAAATTTAACTTCTTCTTTGTGCTGAATATGCTACAAACTATGCATACATCAGGTAGTTTGGGCACTCATCTTGCATCTGATTTAAACAGTAGCAGGTGTCCACCAAGATAGATGCAAATGTCACATCGGAGTCTTGGGTTATCCGCTCTGGCTCAGTTTTAATGATCAACACTAAGTAGTTACTCACCAAATCATTAAAATAAAATGTTCATACTTAAATATATTTTTGGATTGCCTCAGCAAAGGGAAGATACAGAAAGCACTTCAGTATGATTTTTAATCTATATGCACCAAGTCAACAGTGTAAAATTCTCCAGATAGCAAAAATAGATCCTGAGCGAGTTCTGAAATTACATGCACACATTCACACACACATTACACCATCTATTCTTAACAGTCTATTTAAGTAGTATATTTGCTTTGATAAAATGTAATGTGCCTTAATTGAGCTTGGCTATATTAATTGTAGTAATTTCTTTTTAAACTTTCAGTTGGCAATCAGTGGATAAATTATATATCATTCTGTGGTCTTAGAACACATGCAGAGCTTGAAGGAAACCTAGTCACTGAGCTCATCTATGTCCACAGCAAGTTGCTAATTGCTGATGACAACACTGTTATTATCGGTAAGTAGATGGTCTCTAATTGTTTCTTTTTTATAATTTTTTTATCGTCTAAAGTTTTACATATGTCTCCTTTTTCCCCAGTTGACTGCCCCACCCCAGCCATTCCCACCCCAGGCAAGCCCCCAGTGTCTGTGTCCATTGGTTATGCTAATATGCATGCATACAAGTCCTTAATTGTGTTTCTTGCTAGTTGACTTATATCATGCAAAAACCTCTCTTTCTATTCCTCCCAAGCTTCCTTTGCAGTCGAGAGAGACAGTAACATACTATCTAAAACATTTCTGGAGTAGTCTTTTTTGCATACAACCTTTCTAATCCCTGTTTTTATCCATGAAGAAACACAGGCGCAGAGCAATTAAATGGCCATTGTGCAAATTACAGTATCCAAGGGCAGCAGTTTGACCCAGCAGTGCAATAATTAGCCTGCTCTCTTTCATTCTTTACTGTCCCCTTATTTTTATTGAATCCAAGTACCTACATTTTGGGAATGGACGGGGGAGAAATGGGGAGGAAATGAGTACCTGACGGTAATTTGTATGTGTTTGCACCACACCCACCTAACCGTTTTCACAGCTCTGAAGTTGTGCAAGAGTCAGAATTGGAAGGATATGAAAATATTGTTGCCTCTGCGCGTTCTGTTTTTCCCCTAGAGTCTGTTTTGGGTGTCATTAACCAGGGTGCAGAGGGGACCAGCTTTGCTGGTGTAAGGTGGTTAGGGGAAATTGGGAAGTAATCATATGATGCACCCCAGACTAAGGTCTGCAGTCTTTTCTTGTCAAGGATACACAACAGAGTTCTGTTCACATAACTTCTCAAAAGCCTCTCTGAGAATTTCCAACATTGTTCCCCACCAGCAGATTCAGAGACAGTTACTGGTTGTATATTCTACCCAGATTAGATCAACCTGCCCAGAGGGATGGGTGTTCAGCTTTGTTGTTGCATACACATGGAAAGCTTTGTTTTCCCATCCTTGAATTGTTTTGCTTTCAAATATGATGTTACACATACACAGAAAGGGCAGGATGAGAAACAGTATTAATAATCACCCAGGTAAGTGAGTTGACAAGGGTGGAGATGTTACTTAGATATACAGTGTGTCCCACTGTTGGGGATTCTGCTCATCTGTTTTAAATGGAGTGTAGTTTTTCAGCTGTTGTCAGATACTTCCCTATTCTTTAAGAAACTAAATGTTTTGGAGTGTTTTGAAATGTTTTGGCAATAAATATGTTTATCCTCCACTGTAAAAAGCAGGGGTTGGGGAGGAATCTCTTATCTAGTAGTAATGAGACTGTCTTACCTGGAACATGATTTGAAAAGAAAGAAAAAAATATTTTTTCTGAAGTTAGAAAATGTATAGACCACAGTGTGGTCTCACATGTGCGTGCACACACACACACACACACACACACACACACACACTTTTTATACGTATACAGGACATTTAAGAAAAATGTTTTGTGTCGCTGATCCCTTGCTCTATAGGGACCAGAGCACTGTAGGGATTTATTTCCTCCCCTGTTTCCCTCATAACAGGGTTTCTCTTATTTCCCACAGCTACTCTGGCCTTGCTCTTCAGAAGCCATCTCAGAATATATTTATATTAAATTCGGCAATGGCAGTAGGAAGGGGAAATGCTGATGTTTGCTGAAATGGAAAAACAAACAAAGTGAAATAAAGTTCACTGGATGTCTTTAGAAAGACTTCATAACTCTGGGAGTAAAAAATGACCGCTGTAAATATTGAACCTGTAAAGGTCACGTGGGCTTGCAGCCTGCTTTGTGTTACATAAAGGATCCACGCAGAGTAGTTCGCAGTAGCAGAGCCATCAGTTCACTAGGTTGGTTGAGTTTTTTTAATTGACTTATTTTCTAGAAAGGTCTCTGAACCCCCCAGAAGGCTACAGTTTATTCAGGCCAACAGTAACAGATCAATGTTGCCCATAATTCCTGTCCACTCTGTAGAAACAGAAGGTGTGGCCTTAGGAGTGTGAAGGGGTCTTACGTTAGTCTTCAGGGACTGGGTTTCTGTCTCTCCTTCCTCAAGGGCACCACAGATTCCCCTGGAAAATTCCAAAGGTGCTTCTGTTCCTTTTATCTCAGTGGAGACTCTAAGACCAAGCAACGTTGTTGTTGTTGCTGCTCTCACACACATCAGCCTGTTTAAGTTCATAACACAGAGAACAACATTGGGAATTCTCGGAGAGGTGTTTGAGAAGTTATGTGAAGAATATTGAACAGGATTAAGCAAGTATCTAAAAGCTTAAAAGAAGTTAAAGTGATCCATGATTAAATTTTCTAACATGGGAAACGTATGCCAGAATTATTGGATAATTGACCTAAGAAAAACGAGTAATTGTTCACCCTCGCTTTTTCCTCATGAGGAAATACTTGTTTTCTCCCATTGAAGGTCTCTTGTGTGTATACTGGTAGCTTTCATTATCTGTTGGCCTGGGTGACCTGCTGGTTATGAAGCCTGTGTCCAAATCCAGTTTTCTAATCCATCTCAATATTGTCACTGAACCGAGTTAACATTTATTTGCTTTCCTAAACACGAGGCTGTCCTTACGTATAATTTAACTCTACCTGGCTGACGAAGTGAAATGATGTTTTAGTGTTCACTGATCCACTGCAGAGCACAGAAGGGAGACGTACAGCAGGAATCGGATCAGTTGACGAGGTGAAATGATATTTTAGTGTTCACTGATCCACTGCAGAGCACAGTAGGGAGACGTAAAGCAGGAATCGGATGTTGCCGCTGCCCTGCAGCCCTCCTGGGCTGGAGGGGTGGCGGGTATTCTTTCCACCTGACACCAGAGCATCCACGTGGGTAGTGCAGAACCCGAGCAGGAAGGTCAGGGTGGGTAGGTGAGTGGCTGTAGTTGAAGGGCTGCCCCAGTAAAGGGAGATTACACTGGATCTAGTCTGGTGGGTCTCAACCCTGGCTGCATTAGAATTGCCTGGGGAGCTTTAAGAAAACATATCATTTAGGGGGAAGTTTATTCAAGTCTGCAAGTTACCTTAAACTAGATTCACCAACCTCTTCCCCCCACCCCTCCAAAAAAAAAGGATAGATGAAGGGATGGGATGGCATTGCAAAATACTAACAACTGGTTTCTACTTGCAGAAATTGTGATTATTTGGTCTGGTGTGGAGCCCAGACATCAAGGTGTTTTTGTTTTGGCACCAGTATTTTTAAACGCTGCCTATGCGATGCTCATGCACAGTCCAAGCTAAGAGCTTCTGAACTGGACACACAGGGAACATGAGTGGGTGGAAGGACAGAAGAGCTGATGTGGGTTCAATGCAGGTGTCCTCAAACTTTTTAAACAGGGGGCCAGTTCACTGTCCCTCAGACCGTTGGAGGGCCGGACTATAGTTTAAAAAAAAACTATGAACAAATTCCTATGCACACTGCACATATCTTATTTTGAAGTAAAAAAACAAAACGGGAACAAATACAATATTTGTATTTGCATGTGGCCCACGGGCCGTAGTTTGAGGACCCCTGGTTCAATGGAAGAATCAGTTGTCCTTTAATAAGCTAAAATAGGGTACATTGGTGAATTCCTTGTCTTTTGTGGCGGTAACACATGGCCACATACTGAGTGGCTTCAAACAGCACACACTTACTGTTCTGTAGGTTAGGAGCCCAACATGGGTCTCACTGGGCTGCCATCAGGGTGTTGACAGGGCCGTCTTCCTTCCTGGAGGCTCTGAGGGAAGCCATTTTCTTTTCCAGCTTCCAGAGGCGACCCATATTCGTGACCCCCTTTCTCCATCTCTGAAGGCAGCTATGTTCCATCTCTCTGAAAGTTCCCAAAACTTTCAACCCATTCTGCTGTAATCTCCCCCTGAACCCCCTTTGCTTTAAAGACCCCGGTGATTAAATTAGGCTCACCTAGCTAATGCAAGATAGTCTCCCTATTTTAGGGTCAGTTGGTTAGCAATCTTAATTCCCCTTTGCCATGTAACACAACAAATCCACAGGCCTTTACATTAAACAAATCCTTCAGGGCCATTATCCTGCCTACCACCGGAGGATTCACAATTTCTGAAACAAAATATGAAAAAAGGCACAAAGGAAAAGATGGATAAATCCAGCTACATTAAAATTCAGAAACTGTATTCATTAAAAGATCCCATAAAGAGAATAAAAAGATAAACCACAAACTGAAAATAGATATTTGCAGCACACTTAATAATCCAAACCAATAAAGACTCCTATAAGTCAGTCAGAAAAGACAACATCCAAGGTAAAATGGGCAAAGGAACTGTAGTAGAAAAGCACCAAAGAGGACATATATGACACCCATAAATATACAAAAGATGTCCATCATCATTAATGTAATAGTTTTTAAAAATACCAATTAGCCAAAATTAGAAAGCCATGCAATCCAAGTATTGGCAAGGCTGTGGAGCACCAGGTCTCCAGTCCTGCAGACAGAGCCCAGGTAAACACTCATGTGTGTGCACCAGGAGACATACACGCACTGTGTTAGAGCATAACTGTGCTTCACAGCAAAACTCAGACACAGCCAAACGTCCACCAACATAGAATGAATCAGTCCTGGTGTGTTCACTCAAGGAAAATCATGATTAAAATTATGCACAGATAAATCCCAAAGACATACTATTGAACAAAAGATGCAAATCTCAAAAGATTACATAGGATTCCCTTTATTTAAACTAAAAGCATGCAGAACATCATGAGCAGCAAATTCTCTAGAAAGTTTTCCTCTCAGAGAGGGAAGGGCATGCATGGGAGACACCTGAGGGCTTCCGGGATGTGGTAAGGTTCTGTTTTTCAGCCTGGGTGTTAAATTCAGTGATGATTTAGTACTCCAAAGATATATATTTTTTCATATACTCCTTTGTATTTTGTTGTATTTCACATGTTTTAAAAAGTTCCCTAATATTATGAGACTTAGAAAATACAATTTTCTAAAAATTAAGTGGTTTTAAATATCAAGCCAATATCCTAATGAAAATAAGAGATTGTAGTTACTGCAAAAAAGTACTACGTGACTACAACGCGTATTTGTTGTAAACAATGCAAACCCTAAGGGCATGTATGGAATAAAAGGTCAGAATTCCCCTTTTTGTCCTCCTTTTCTTATCCAGAATTCACTCCCCCTACTTAACAGTTCAACGTGTAACTTTCTAGAGCCTCGCCCTCTCTTCTTTCCCACGTTATAAAGTAGAATGATGTTATATATCTGCTGTTCTGAATTTGCTTTTCAGAATGTGGAACCGTTTAACAAGAATAGAGGTAGCATTTACATCAACAAACATCTCTTTTTTCAGTATCTCACTCATTACATTCATCTAAAATATTCTCAGCCCCTTTTCACATTCCTATTAAATAGTAGCCAACACTTACTCGGGGTGGTTGAGAGTCAGTGCCTGGGTAACTCCATATCAGCCCTGGAAATGGAAAAACCACTCCTCTCTCTAAGAATTCCAGCTCAGAATGCCAGGAATGTGTTTCTCTCTTTGGGAATAGGGCCCACCTTGGTGGGAGGGAGACTGGGGGACTGGCATGAAAGTGTGTGTGTGTGTGTGTGTGTGTGTGTGTGTAGGAGGCTTCCCATCCCGTTTTCCTGACAGTGGAGAGCAGTGATGACCACCCAATCCAGCAGCCTGCAGCCCGAGAGCGGCCTCTGCTGGAGGCCAGGGGTAGTGAAGTCCCAAAGCAGCACCGTGGGAACTTGGTTCCTCTCCACGCTGCAGTTCACACACCAGGGTGAGGGGTGATTAACCCAGAGAGGAGGCTTCTCTGATAAAATGCTACTTGTCCTTTTCTACGGCGATGTTCTCTGGTGCAGACATTATTAACAAGAATTTGATAATGATGCCAATAATAATTAACACTTGTAGGGCCGTTTATAGATTAACAAGTGCTTTCACATGACCTTACTTAATTTTTACAGTGACATTATGATCTCAATGTAAAAAAGGCAAAGCTGAGAAAGATTAAATGACTTGGCCCGCACTAAGGCTATGCCAACTGTCCAATCCAAAGATATAGCTGTACATTTTCTAGGGTAATAAAAAAGTGTATGTATAAAGGACTACCGGTTGCTAACAAAACAAAGTGTTTCAAAGGTTGTCTTGTCACCTTACAGCATTCTGGTAGTGCTCCCAAATGTCTGGTGAGGTGCTCCATCCTTTCTCTGTCACCCAGGGTCACTGTGGGGCTCCATTCGCATCCATAGTTATCATAGATGTGCGTATTAACTACATGACAACTTTGTGCAAATGGTAGTGATGTCTCTTCAAGATGGGCCCGATTTTTCTCATGTACCACATCCCTCCAGGTGGGCTCGGGCCAGGCTGCTGTCACCTTACACCCTGAGTGTCCCCATCACAGGGGCTAGCCCGTGCCCCAGTGCCCCACTCCCCCAGAGGCAGTGGAGTATGTGATTAGGGCAAGAGGAGCGAGAAGAAGAAAGAACCTGTCAGGCCCTTCTGTAGTTTTTAGGACACCTCAAGGATTCAAAGAATGAATCTGCAGTGATTAACACAGAAAACGTGATGGGGTTTCTGAATGCGAGGCTGAGGAACGCAGCAAGCACAGGTTGGACTATTAAAATAATTGCCCTTCATACGGGAGTCAACATTCTTAGCTCATTTGGATTTAAAAATAGGCTGGAAGAAAGTTGATACAGAAGCTGTTGGCATGCCACACAAGTGAGGCCAGAGAATGGAAAACCCAGAGCCACTGACGGTAATCTGTATTGAGAGTGGACTCTTGCTTGTGAAGGTACTCTTGGGTTTTGACGCTCATAATTCTATGATCATAAGTTAAAGTCTACAGTGTCTAAGTCTCAAAACTGACTGAGTTGAACTGGTAAGCATATCTTTTATTCTTTGTATGCTTAATGATTATACCGGTTAGAATCCTTTGAGCCACAAAATAGAAAATCCAGCTAGAAGCATGTGAAACAATAAGGAAAACGTATTGTTGCATAACAGAAGGTGTAACATTCTAGTGCTGACTTAGAGACCCAGGGTCTTGCTTCTTTCTGCCCTGCCATCTCCAGCTTGTCTGTCTCCTCATGGTTACAAAACGGCTGCAGCAGCCTAGGAATCACATCCTCATCCACCTGCTCTGTCAGAATAGCCAAAGGCTGGAAGCAGCAGCATTCTGTTCTTGTCCCAGTTTATGAAAAGGAAAAAAAAAACTTTCGCAGAAGCCCCTAGCAGACTTTTCCTCATGTCACACTGCCTAGACCAGTGGTTCTCAACCTTCCTAATGCCGCAACCCTTTAATACAGTTCCTCATGTTGTGGTGACCCCCAATTTCATTGTTACAAATGGAACATAATTAAAGCATAGTGATTAATCACAAAAACAATATGTAATTATATACATGTTTTCCGATGGTCTTAGGCGACCCCTGTGAAAGGGTCATTCGACCCCCAAAGCGGTCGCGACCCACAGGTTGAGAACCGCTGGCCTAGAATCATGTCAAGGGCCCAATCTAAGTCCAACACTGGCCAAAATAATGAAATTATAACTGCTGGCTTAGACTGATCCAGATGCACCCCTGGGTTAGGGAAGGGCTCGCATCCTTAAAGCACAGCAACTCTTGCTAACCTGAACACAATTAGGGTTTGTTAGCAAGGTAGAATCGAGTGGGAGGGCAGCTGACAGTGTCTGCCTCAAAGAGAAGATTGTTCAGCGTCACTGTTTCTCCTGCAGGCTCTGCCAACATCAATGACCGAAGCATGCTGGGAAAGCGAGACAGTGAAATGGCGGTCATTGTGCAGGACACCGAGACGGTCCCTTCAGTGATGGATGGAGAAGAGTATCAGGCGGGCCGGTTTGCCCGCGGACTTCGGCTACAGTGCTTTAGGTGAGCCTCCAAGCCTGGGTCTGTCTTGACTGCTTGTACTGCAGTAGAACTGGAGCCCGGCCCAGCCTCAGCCGCCTCTCCAGGTTCCTCTTCCTCTAATCGTGTCTCCCAGATACGGGACGTGAACTACCAGGACTCTGTGAAATGACAGTATGTGTGGCTCAGACATTGTCTATTTTAATGGTTTGTATTATGTGTATGTGTCATGGAGAAACTAGCATTTTAAATCTATTAATGGATTTAGGACTAGGCCAGGTCAGGCTATCCAGTATCTACTTAAGTTTTTTATAGCGAGTTTATTTCTAGAAATGGAAATGGTTCCGGTAATATAAGGATATAATAAAAATTATTTCAGTGAATGCCAGAGACTACTGGTATTATTTTACATGTGGAAACTTTGGTTCTCATTGAAGATGGCTCCAGACGTGGGAGATTGCTGACCTTCTGCAAGAAGGTGTGAGTTTTAAACAAATCTGTAATCAATCAGAGGGAACACAGGGTTAGGAAGCAAGGGCTACATGGCCCGAAATGAGTCCTTCATTTATTATTATTTTTAATTTATATTTTTATTGATTTCAGACAGGAAAGGAGAGGGAGAGAATGGTAAGAGAGAATCATTGATTAGCTGCCTCCTGCACACCCCACACTGGGGATCGAGCCAGCAACCCCGGGCATGTGCCCTGACTGGGAATCAAACCCTGATCTTCTGGTTCAAAGGTCAATGCTCAATCACTGAGCTACACTGACTGGGCAGAGTCCTTCATTTAATTGTTACTGAGAACTTTCTAGAGTTGGCCTCAAACTGGCCCCATCCCAGGCCCAGTCGTCTAGGCTCAGGAGTCAGTGATCCTTCTGGAACCTAACTCCGAGATGGCTCCTTATCTCCTCTCACTCATCCCTTGCTCACTGAGACACGCTGAGCTCCCACTGTCTGTGGACACCCCGACCACTCTCTCACCTCTAGGCTTTTGCAGTAAGTTCACAACCGTGATTCTAGAACTATATTTGCCAGGATTGGATTTCACAGTGAGAGGAGCAGGTGTCCCTGTATAAGGGCAGTGCTTTCAGCTATTTGGGGAAAGGCACGGCACAGACACATGCAACAGCAGTCTCAACCCTTCTGGTGTTAGTGGTCGCACTTGGAAACCGATGAGCACAAAATGAGCCCCTCCCTTCCTGCAAATGCGGGTGGCCATTTCCCTCCTTCCTAACTCTGCTTTTGAAAACTAATAAAAGCTTTGGTTTCAGAGATGGTTCACTCTGTTCTCACTGCCCCAAGAGCTCAGCAAACCCATCCCTCAAAATTGGACTGTCAATACCGTCTCACAATTTTTATTGCCTTTGTTACTAATTGTTTTGCCAGTAAGATTTTTTTCAAACCACTGATATTTCAGTTAGCTCCTAACATGTTCTGTTTAGCAGGGGAAGAGTTTAAAATTAGTATCCTTCCCTGACCAGTTTGGCTCAGTGGATAGAGCGTCGGCCTGCGGACAAAAGGGTCCCGGGTTCAATTCCAGTCAAGGGCATGTACCTTGGTTGCGGGCACATCCCCAGTGGGGGGTATGCAGGAGGCAGCTGATCGATGTTTCTCTCTCATCAATGTTTCTAACTCTCTATCCCTCTCCCTTCCTCTCTGTAAAAAATCAATAAAATATATTTTTAAAAAATAAAAAATAAAATTAGTATCCTGCTTAGCAACCCATTCATTGCCTACTGTAGCATAGACAGGGAAAAAATATTTTTTGTGTCAACTAGAAATGTCATATCTTTTCAGTTCCATGACCTGAAGTCTTTTCTTTAAAGTGGTGGGCTTCTTTATAACGTTCTAAATGTATAATAATTATAGTAGTAGGTGGTGCTGATTGCAACATATTGTCATTGTACAAAATTTGGCAAACACAGAAAAGCAATGGAAAAAAATAAAATTTATTTGTAATTCCACCACCCAGTGCTAACAATTTTAATATTTGATGTATATCATTTCACTTTTTTTCTATACATATATATTGCTATACTTTGTCCTTTTTTAAAGAAAACATGATTAAGATCTTGCAGTTCTACAAGATTATTTCTTATTTAAGTAATGTTACACATACTTTCATGTCGTTAAGTATTCTATAACATCTAATGGCTGCATTATATTGAGTATGCCATAATTCCTTTAAGTAGTACCTCATTGTTAGGCAGATTTTCTGCTGATATTTAAAAAAATGGTATGTTTCTAGATAACATCTAGTTTACTTTCTTAATTGTTTTCTTAACTAAATCCTAACTATGAGATTTCTGGTCAAAGGAAGTGTGCAGTGTTCTTTGCTTCCAACTTCCTATTGTGTCACTAGCAATATTTAGAGGGCTTATTCCCCCTGTCTTCTCTGAGTTCTGTTAGTTTATTTAGTCTTTGCCAATTTGGTGAATTTCAAATGGAATTTTATTATTTTAATTTGAATTTTTAGGGTTTTCAAAAATGTATTCACATGTAATTGTTCTTTTGTAGATTGTCTCACCTAGTTGTGATCTTTGCCCAGTTAAAATGTTTTAATTTAATTTTAATGATTTGTAAGTAATTATAACTTCCTATGCCACATTTGTTGCACATCTGATTTTCAATTGCCTCTTATTTAAAGGATTTAGGGGAAATATCAATTCTTAATAATCAAAGCTATCAAGGTTCTCCCCAATCCCCTCCCCCCGCCTTTTCTTATAGGTTTAGAATAGCTTTACCAGCCCAAGATTAAATATTTACTTATATTTTTCTAGTTCTTATTTGATATTACTTTTCACATTTAACATCTGAAATTTACTTTGGTATAAGAAATGAGGTAGGAACTCTACATTTCCCCCTAACCAAGCAGCCAACCCAGAACTGCATGATGTGCTGCAGGGGCTTTTGGCCTCTCTAACCTGCGGATACACTGAATGGCCACGTATCCTGGCATCACTAGGCTCTCCATGATGTTCTATTGAAAGTCAGTTTACTTGCAATTTGATAGCATTTTAATTATTATAGCTGCGCGTTATAATACTACTTCTTGCCATACCACTTCCCCAAATTAATATTCTTTTCCAGAATAACCTTGGCTACTCTTAAATATTCATCCTTACAAAGGAACTTTTGAGTTATTTATTCAAGCTCTCTATTAATTCTTACTAATTTTTATTGGGATTACAGTGGATTTATAGATTAACTAGAAGCCTAATTGCACAAAATTCATGCAAGAGTAGGCCTTCCTTCCCCCAGCTGCGGGCACCAGCTTCCCTCTGGAACCCAGGACCCGGGCTTTGCTTCAGCCCCAGCTTCGTCCGGAATGATGTCTGGAATGACATCAGGTCTAATTAGCATATTACCCTTTTATTACTATAGATATAAAAAGAATTGGCATCTTTATAATATCAAGTCATCCTATTTAAGAATAAGATATAGACTTCAATTTATTCAACAATTTTTTTTTTTGCTCTTCAATAAAGCTTAAGGGTTTTTATTATTGGGGACAGGGCGTGTTCTTAAGTAAGCATTAGAGTTTTTTGTATGCTGCTCTTATACATTTCATGTTAAATTTATTCCTAGGTGCTATTATTTTTCCTGGCTATTTTCAAACTGTCTTAAAGAGGCAGTTGTTCTTGATCAATCATTTTCATTTTGCCACCATGGCAAACACAGATAATATATTTAAAAGCATACAAATGCCTTGTGTCCATTTTAGCTCCTTTTATTAGGAAATATTCTCAAAGATAAATATTGTGGCCATTTTTTTCCTCTTTAAAAAATGCAACTTCAATCCATTTTCCATCTGGAAAAAATAGAGAGACATATTTTAATGTGAAGTCAGTTCTAAGTAGAATCAATCATCAGGGCGCTGCAACTATATGTCCAACAGTTCATTAAGTCCTAGAAAATTATCCAAACTTCACAGATATAACCATCACTCGGCAGAAACCATTATCTTCACAAGTAGAGTCAGAATCATTTAAAGCAACAGACGTGAGGAATGGGAAGAACAGAAACAATTTGCTGCAGCTTTTCTGTTGTCCCACTGATGTGTAAACAATTCAACTTTAAATAAATAATTGCCATTATAGACATCAACATAAAAGCGAACTCATTTTTTCTGGAACCTTAGTCCTCAGAAGAATACCCAGAGTACTTCATATTATTTTCACTGTGCATTTCAATATAAGTTTCTTATTATTAAAAAACTGACAGGGAAAATAATTTATTACTAGATGTTGTCTGTTATAGACTTATTTAAAAACTTTTTCTACATACAAGCTCTTCACCGATAACATGGCAGACATGTTGCCTACTTCTTGTTCTAATTTAAAAGCAAAGTCACAGAAATATTCTTTTTGCTCAGTTTTCAGCTGGTTAGACCTGACCCAAATCAAAGGAATTATTATAACTGACTTATTGTTATAACTTGTACAGTCCCTCAAATTAGGTGCAGTCAAATTTAGCTTTGGGTCTTAATGAGCAGCAGCATCCGCGTGCAAACATCATCCCTGAAGACCTGTGTAAAAGTGGTTCCTATATTGGCTGAAGGAGACATTATTTGAAGTGGAAATAGAATTTGAGGTTACAAAACTCCAAGATTACCAGCGAGCCCATGGTGTCAGATCCACTTACTTTAAATAATTTTAATATAGCAAAAAAAATGCAGACTAAAACTAAAACGAGATGCTTTTTTATCCCTGTAAGACTGACTGAGCCTTTTCAGGAGTTGACAATGTTGGAGATAATTGGGACAGAACAACATAATGACCTCCACACTGTTAAATCCAATCAATGGTCACTTCTCATTTGAAATTGACACAGTTCTGCTTGACGCCATACGTCATATGGTTCCGGGACACGAGGTCCTCTGGTTTTTCTCTAGTCTCCATGGCCACTCCTCCTCTCCCTGACTGCTGAGGTGCCCCAGGTCTCCTTCTCTGTCTATACCAGCCGTGGGCAAACTACGGCCCGCAGGCCGTATCCGGCCCATTTGAAATGAATAAAACTAAAAAAAAAAAGACCATACCCTTTTATGTAATGATGTTTACTTTGAATTTATATTAGTTCACACAAACACTCCATCCATGCTTTTGTTCCAGCCCTCCGGTCCAGTTTAAGAACCCATTGTGGCCCTCGAGTCAAAGTTTGCCCACCCCTGGTCTATACTCATTCCTTTGGGTAAACCCAGTTAAAGTCACATGGCTTTATGCATCCTATATAATAAAAGGCTAATGTGCAAATAGACCGAACAGCAGAACAACCAGTTGCTATGACATGCACTGACCACCAGGGGGCAGATGCTCAACACAGGAGCTTCCCCTTGGTGGTCAGTGAGCTCCCAAAGGGGGAGCACCACTCATCCAGAAGCCCTGAGCCGGCCTCATGGCTGGCGAGCGCAGCGGCGGTGGCAGGAGCCTCTCCTGCCTCCATGGCAGTGCTAAGGATGTCTGACTGCCGGCTTAGGCCTGCACCTGGAGCAGGCTAAGCCAGCAATTGGACATCCCCCAAGGGCTCCCAGACTGAGAAAGGGTGCAGGCCAGGCTGAGAGACTCCCTCCCCCGAGTGCAGGAATTTTGTGCACCTGGCCTCTAGTATATATGGACAATTCTAAAATGTAAATCTCCAACCCAAACGCCTTCCCTCTCAAACTCCGGATTCATTTTTTTCAACTGCCTGCCTAACATTGCCACTTGAATATTTAATAGATATTTCAATAGATTAAAAATGGAATTCCTAATCTTCCCCCACAAACTGGCTCTATCCACAGAATTCCCAGTCTCAGCAAATGGCAACTGTGTTATCCTAGTTACTCAAGCCAAAACCCTGCTAGTCATTCTTGGTGCCTCACTTTTTCTCACACCCTATACCTACATTATCAGTAAGACCCATTGGCTCTACCTTTCTCTCCACCACCCAAACCACCACCATGACTCCTCTATGTTACTGCAGTAACTCCTGACTGATCTCCCCGTTCCAACCATGCCCTGCAGTCTGTTCTCAATACAGCAGCCATATTTCAATATCAAGTCGGATCCTATACCTCCTCTGCCCCAGTGTCTGCTATATGCCCCAGTTTCACTCAATGTGAACGCCAAAGTCCTTCTAAGACCTATTTCCCCATTTCTATTTTCAACAAAGCACAAGTCTTTCTGATATTCTTGGAACATACCAGGTATGTGAGCAAAGGACTTTGGACTCAGTTTGAATTTTAGCTCTATTACTAGAATGTGTCTAAACTCTAGGTCCCCATCTGCGAAATAGGAACCCTCTACCATCTACCTCACAGGATTAAGATGGAAGTCCTTTTCAACCCTAAGGCCTTCTCTCAGTACAGGGTTTTTATCATTTTCAAATATGACCTCTAAAACTTGTCTTGCTTTGCTTGAGAGCTTCTAATTCCAAGTCCCCTGTTTATATATGATCATTCAGACAACATCTAGTGTGTGGTTTCTTTTATGCCGGGCACTCTGGGGATATGAGAGTAGCCAAGTCATGTTCTCTCAGAGAATGTATATGCTAGAAGTGGGAAATGGGCCTGGTAGACATAAAAAGTTGCATAGTGTGTATTGCAGGTCCTCTGATAAAAACAAAGCATATATGAATTATAGTGGGGAACAGAGGAAGAATGTTCAAACCTCCCAGGTTTGATGGGGAGAATAGGAGATTGGAGGCAGGGGGGTGGGGGGGAGGTATAAAAAGTTTTATGGAGGTGACTTTGTACTGAATTCTAAAAGATGATAGATAGGGTTAGGTAAACAGGTAGGCAAAATTCAGTGCCTCCCTAATTACTCCCATCTCATAATCTTAAAGTATATCTGTATTTATCAAAATTTTAGTTAATTCCTTTGAGGGTGATTATTTATTTATTGTTGAACCCACCCACTAAATTTAAATCTACCCAGAGAGGCTTCATGTCATTTGTATTTCCTTCTGTACCCTAGAATTCAGCATAGTTATTCGACCAAACGAAGGAAAGAAGGAAGGGAAAGAAAGGAAGGGAGGAAGGAAGGGAGGAAAAGAGGGAGGGACAGAGGGAGTGAGGGACAGACGGAGGGAGGGAGGGACAGAGGTCAAGTCATGGTTAAGAGCACAGGTTTGAGATGGTCCTGGTCAGAGGCCCAGGTCTACAGCTTACCAGCTGTGTGGCCTTAAAGAAGTTATTTAACCTCTCTGTGCTTTAGTTCCCTTATCTATAAAATGAAGATAATAGTTGCTTTTTCATAATGTTGTTGAGGGTTTACTGAGATAGCTCTTGGAAAGGGCTTAACATCTTGTTTATTGTTAAAAGATATGATGCTGCTGCTTCAAGTTTCTTCAAGGTTACGTGTTTTAGTTGCTGGCACTTGTTGTGAATGCTAATCCTATTTTCCATGGCTCTCACCCATTTAGACCAAATTACAAGGACTCTCTTAGATCAAAATTAAGGCCTCTCTCTGTGTTTAACAGTTAAAACTTTCAAGCATCATAGTAACCTAGGGGTTTCTGTTTTGTTTTGAAACTTGGGTTTTTTTATATATAAACACACACAGACACATATACACATACAAAGTTTTAATGAAGTTACCACTAGAAACAATGCCTGCAGCAGACTGCTCTATCTTGGTTACTCAATTTGGAGGACACTTGTATTTCAGGGTTGTCCTTGGCTATCTTTCTGACTCAAGTGAGGACATTCAGGATCCAGTGAGTGACAAATTCTTCAAGGAGGTGTGGGTTTCAACGGCAGCTCGAAATGCTACAATTTATGACAAGGTAAGTCTTACATACCCTCCCCCCCCCCCTGCCGTTTTTTCTTCATTGAATTTCATCACAAAAGCACATTATTATTTCTGCATATTATTGGTATGGAGCATTCTTAATGAGTGTAAAAAACAATTTACCTCCAAGTTGTAATAAAATACCTCTCTGTAGATATTAGAAAACAAAGAGTCAAAAAGCACCACGGATTATGGTTTAGAAGAGACTTTAGTGGCATTCTGATCTCTCATCTGCTTCAGGAATCCATTATGAGCATTCTTAGGTGGTTACCCAGCCTTTGTACATGTCTGGTGACAAAGAAAAAAGAGGCAGATGGGATCGAAAAATGAGTCAGAATTGGGTTCAACCCAGCTCACCCAGTTGCTGGTAATATAACCTTGTGAATAGTGACTTGACATTCTGAGCCTTCCATTCTTCTATAAATTAGGAAGAATATTCACTAGGGTAGTTATGAGGATAAAATTAGCCTATTAAATGTGTCTATCACATAGTACATGGTATCCATCCTTATAATGAAGCTTACTAATAATAAGACACTTTCTTTATTGGACAGCTCTAATTTTGTAAAGGTGTTTTAAAACCAGCCCCATTTGTTAGGGGGGGCCAAATGCATTTCCTGGTAAGTTCTATCCATTGGTTATGTACAAGAGTTAAGGGTTGTCTAACTGTGGAACGGGTTACCTCACGAAGTAGCCAGCTTTGCATCATAGCAAATATTCAAGCTGAGATCCATTGACCATCTATCAGGTTGGGTAAGAGTGTGTTCTTCTTCATGACTTGCAGAATCCCTTCCCTCCAGCACGGAGATTTCATCATGTCTAATGAAACATGACCACTATCTACACAGCCTTATTTCATACTGAGGTCCAAGGCCATGATCAAATAGGTCATGTGCATGCAGTCTTTTAAAACGTAATTTTTAAAATACAGTCGACAGCCTCGTTTGGATCCTGGATTGGGATGATAACAGCTATAAAAGACATTTGGAGGATAATAGGATAAATCTGAATATGGACCACATCTTAAATAATATGCAATTGATTTTCTGAGGTGTGAGAATGGTATTGTGATTATATGGACACATGTCCTTATTCTTAAGAAATGCATGCTGAAGTGTTATGATTATCTGAAACATATTTCCAATGAGCAAAATAAGTATACAGTGGATAATTCTAAGTAAAGGTACAGATAGGAACATTTTTCAAACTAAAAAGTCAGAGAAAATAAATTATACAATTTTTCTCTTAATCTGGAACCTCCACTGAAACTAAGGGTTGATTATTATCTAAAACATAACGTCAATGAAATTCCTTACTATAAGCTTGTCATTATCCCGGGGTTAATAATTTGTGTAGATCAGATATGAGTCTACTTATGATTTTATTTTTGAAAGCAAGGAAATGTGTCTGTTTCTTTGTAGTAAATAAGAAAAGCAACTTTTCAGTCAGCTCTATGCAGTAACATAGAACTAACAGTGTTTTATAAAGCCAAGAGTTGTCTCTTGAATTAGTATTTTCCAAAAATGGGATACGCTTTCTTTTCAACTTATCACTCAGCTTCCTCTTCGTGTTTTAACCAGGTGTTCCGGTGCCTTCCCAGTGATGAAGTGCACACTTTAATTCAGCTGAGAGACTTTATAACCAAGCCCATATTGGCAAAGGAAGATCCCATTAGAGCTGAGGAGGAACTGAAAAAGATCCGTGGGTTCTTGGTGCAATTCCCCTTTAATTTCTTGTCTGGAGAATGCCTACTGCCTTCTGTTGGAACCAAAGAAGCCATGGTGCCCATGGAGGTTTGGACTTAAGAGTTATCAGCTCAGAGACTTCCACCCCAAAGAGCGCACTGCGCACAGTGACTTTCTGAAGCCTAACAGCCAAGAACAGCCTGATGCACTCTTGTGTCCAACCCATGGACCCTTTGGGTTGGTTGGGAAGGGCTGATGTAATGACACTGAACGTCATCAGGGCTTTACATTCCTCCTGCCTATCCTTTGAGAAAGGGACTGCATTCTTATTGGTAGTATATACTCAACAACTTGAACACATATGCAAATTCCATGATGTACACCAAAGTGCATTTCCCTTACCAACCACAATTTACCTGTAACTGTGATCTAGGTTGCCAAAAGTCATCTGAACTTCCTTATTCTTCTCTGACTTTCATTTATGCAGCTAATGTCTGCTGGACCTGCCCTCATAGTCCATACAGCACTGGTTGAGATCTTGTTTATTGTTAGAAGGTATCATGCTGCTGCTTCAAGGTTCTTCAAGGTTACGTGCAATGCCCTTGCCCATCTGGTCCTGAAGTGGTAGTGTTCCCCAAGCAAGGATGCTGTCATTATTCCTTTTCAGTGACTGACAGGATAGTAAAGACTCTACACAGCAGCCCATGTTAGGCAGTTCTGATAACATTGACACTCGATAATACATATCCTGACACCACAGAGCAACAGGAAGGAATTAAATTCAGTTATTGAGACAGAGATTTCACTTTGCCTCTAAAGGCACTGACAAGATGTGTCCTTCTGATGAGGCCTGCCTGATCAAGTTTGAAAACATGTGTAGGATATTTGATTACACAGCAACCGATAAAACTCAAAGACAGAGCATGCAGCCTTCAGAAACCTCCAGGTGTCAGTGGGGATCTGATCCAGATAAGAAAATAAGATTCCTTAGAGTCCTGCAAAATTTCCTGTCATCCTTCGCTGCTGGATTGATTGAAATTTGAGGCTTTTCTATTTCAAAATCAAACCAGTGAATGCAATTTGTCTTTCAAGAGAATCAGGTTTTATAACTCATACCAAGTTAATAAGTAGGAGCCCAGCCTTATTTGACACTCAGCTCTCCAGCAGTGTTATCTTCTTAAAGAAAAATTGATTGCTAAAGATGTGCTATTTCACTTGCATTATTAAATATACATTAACATTCCACCAGGGCTTCCAAAGAGGTTAGGATATTCATTAATTCATACTGTTCTAGTCTGTGAATTGTTCTCGAAACCTTTTTTTTTTTTCCTTTTTGGACATTAGAGTGCCTTTTGGTACACCATAGCTCTAATTTTACTAAGCAGAACTATTTTTATAGCCAAAGAGCTAATGTTGGCTCCCAAAAGGCTGTGTCCATAAAACATGAGGTAGGTGCAATGCTTTTATGTCTGGGGATTACCTGGACAGAATCTCATTTGGGTTCTTCAAAGAAGCAAGGACCCAACCCTGTTTTCGTTGAGCTCATAGTCCAGTGGGAAAGGTTAATTAGGGGCACAAGGTCAGTGATCTTAGGAGAGGATTTCACAGCTAGAAAACTTTTTACAAATGAAGTGGGACTGGGATTGTGTAATCAACAATGGAAATGAGTAGGCTTTATGAATAAATAACTTTTTTCTTAGATAGCTAATCATGGTAACAGAACTTCATTCTTTAGCAGTTGTAAATAAGACATTTGTTATTTATGAAGTTTAGATTGGCATTTCAAGTGTTGAGTGTATGTGGAATGCCTAAGGATTTCTTATATTTCATTTTTAAACATTTTTAAAAATCATAGAACAGTCATCAAACTGGCTCTTGACTTTGTGCAAGAGTCTCCTTTAAAACCATGAAAAAAAGAGCCTAAAAAGATCCTTTCCCTTTAAAAAATTACTTAATTCTACTTCCCCTCATTTTACAGAGTGGTTGACCTTAGAGATCGTGAACCTGGAACTCATGTAATGTCTAGAGTTCATTATTGGCCTCTCCTCTCACTTTATCATAGATGTCAGTACACAGATTTCAGAAAGGATCTTTCAAAGCAATTTTGAAACCCTGTGATATTATGTATTTAGGTGTTATGTCTGTCTCCCCCTACTAGAATGTAAGCCCCCTGGGGCAGGGACTTTCCTGTGTTTTGTTCAATGTACCCCAGAGCCTAGAACAGTGCCTGGTACATACAAGGTGCTCAATAAATGCTTGTTGGGTGAATAAATGAGGTGGAGGAGAGTGCTAATGAAATGAAAAACTTACATTAACTCAGACAAGAAATCTTCCTGCTGGTTTCCGTGGCAAGTTTTTTTTTTTCTTTCCTACTGCATCTTCTCAAAGGCAAGATGCTCATCTGCAAAGATGAAAGGCTACAAGATTTACTTGGATGGATTTTATGGAAAATTTGGTGCAATAATTGCCTGTTTTATAATAGCAGTTTACATAGTTGAGCATTCTGCAAAAATTGCATAGGATGTGGACATGAGATGTACTGTGTGGCCTAATTACCCTTCATCCTCTGGCACCATTACTACCTAATCTATCTTTAACAATTGCAATGTCTGATACAAACTTAAAAATGCAAATGATCCAAAGCCTTGAAAAACTATTATGAATCAGTTCAACGTTTCCAACTGACTGTAATCTTTTGGAACACCTATAATGTTGTACCTGTCACTCTGATAATCTCTGGAATAATTTTTGTTTCCAAGAAGGAAAATTCTATGATTATAAGAAATGAAGGGTAAAAAAAAGTTATTAAAGCTATTCAGATTGGCCGAGCTCAGTGGTTGGAAGACATAGCAGGTCTGGTACAGGCATTGCTCTGTATCAAGTGTCCACTTGGTGACTCACCTTGCAGTGGGATGTTCTGAATTCTCCGCTGTAATGCATCATTGAAAGGACTACAGAGCTGGTCCTTAGGTAATTCAGTGGCTTATTGTAAAACAAAACATTGGTTTTATTACCACCTTTGGAAGAAAATTTGCCTATAGATTGCCAAAAATTAGCAGTTAATTTCTTATGTAATAACTTGAGAAATTGTAATTAATTTCAATGAACAGATGAAAACAGCAGGCCCAGAAATCTTTGTAAATGGAAGACTACAGGCTGAACAGGTTTTGTACATCATGAAGAACTGGGCTTCTTTCTGCAACTCCTCACTCCTTGTTCCTTCAACCTCCGTCCACAATCAGACCACCTCCTCAGTATGTAAACAGTTTTAGAGGACCAGAAAAAGTCTTTTGGAAAAAACAAAATTAGGCCTCTACACTAAATCTTCAGGTTAGCTTTTAAGTGACTGACAAAATGTCATTTTTTAACAAGGTAATCATTCTTTTCAGCATCCCACTGCGAGGTGAGTGGCTGAGTAGGATTGGCATTTGAGCATACTCACATGCCTGTCCCCTGTGTAGCAAGGATGCAGAGGACCCTCTGAGACTTCTCTTCCCTCTTGGATAAAGTGAGCAAATGCTAAAGGATGTTAAGTATGTTTTGGAATACATTTTTACTTCCTTGGAAGATCCTCTGAGACCAATCCTTACTGGCAGTTTAGAGGTTTCAAATAGGTCATACCAGGCATAGGCCTTGAGAAATTCTGAATCTGGCAATTCACTGGAAAAGGCATTTGTCAGCCTCTATCAAAAAAATTGCAGGTGAAGAATCAATGGATTTGCATTATTGAGGGGAAAGGGCCAGTACCACAATATGATTCCTAATGGCATTTAGTTCACATGTGAGATATTTCTGGCTTTGACTTGAGAGTGAAGGATTCATTAAAGGGACCAAAATTTTTATGGCATAAATTTCTTTTAGGTTATTTTAATTTTCTCTTATACCATTTTTAATTTGTAATTTAAAAATGAAAAGTAATCAAACGCAAGATAAATGAAAATTTGTCACACTGATAATTTTAACTTCTAAAGGCAGAGACTGGATGGAAATCCAGCTGAAATGCAGGCTGAGTTACTCTTTCCAGTTCCCAAGCAGCTGCAATTGTTTGCTTTATTCTAGATAAGTACACTGCAGTGAATTTCATCCTAGTTCAGTTTGACACTAGGAAATATAACATCACTCCCTCCTAATGTATATTCCACTTGGATTCTTCACATTAAATAATCTGGGCCAAAGGTACTGATATTCTCCTTAACTGTTCTCAAATTTCATGCCAGAGTAGTGCAGTTGGATCACATCTCTCTGACACAAAAACAAATACTCGGTGATAAGCATCCAATCAGAATGTTCAGATATTCTGGACAGAACTTGGGCTCCTAGCCTCACCATGACGGCAGGGTTTGGCAAACTAAGGCTTGGCTTCCTGTTTTTATAAAGTTTAAACACAGCATGCCCTTCATTTATGTGCCTTTGTGATCCAATGATCCTCAAATCTTCTCCCTAGAGGAAGGATCAGTAAGCTTTTCTTAAAGATGGTAAGAGAGAGCAAAGACTGTCTAGACAGGGTACTCAACAAAACAGATGTGGGTGAGTTTTAATCTCTTCCATAAACAAGGTTTTCAAGTCTCCCTGTCCCAAAGCCCAACATTCCACAATAGATTTATTCTAAGAACGGGATGAAGTTCTTTCAGGAATGAAAATCACGTTTGCTGGTTCTGGAAGAGAGGTTGCCAGCTAAAGAAGGCTTCTCCCAGCTGCACACTCAGGGAGAGCATGGATGATGATGTTTATAATAAAGTGTTTGTAAAGGAGGCTGGGTAGGCATATGAGTTTGTGTTCAGAATGAGAATTATGAACGTAAGACACTCAGTTTTCCTGAATTTTTCTTCTGTAAAGCATTCGAAATCATACATATATCTATTCTCTGCGTCACAATCTACGCTTTCTATGCCTGGTCCCATAACTGCTTTTAAAAAAAAGTAAATATACATTAATGAATTAAAAGTGTGAAATCAGCAGCGATCCTCTATTTGCAATCAAGATTCCTCATTCTGCACATGGGTTTTTAGATCCTGTGTGCTATACGTCTGAGCTAGAGACAGAAATGTGTGCCTATGGGGCCTTTGCCTGCATACTGCAAAGACTGATTTCAGAGTCATAGCGAGCCACCCTGCTCCCCATCCTCTCTCTCCATGAGGTGCAAGATGCAGCTGATTTCTTTTAAACGACCAATATACCGTTCAATGGCACAGAATGAGTAAGGTCCAGTGTGAGTGTGGGGGTGCATCACTGAACCAGTCAGACCAGTACCCCACCTTCATGGTGCTCACATTTTAATAAATGGAGAGTGCAAAGTAATTTCCATTCTCAAGATAGGAAAGTGCCTGAAATAAGAGACATTTGAGGGAATACTACTCAGCCATAAGAAAAGAAGACATATTGCTCTCTCTCTCTCTATATATATATATAAGCCTAATATGCAAAGTGTCCCCTTGGGAGTTTGACCAACAGGGAGTTTGATCGCTCACTATGATGTTAGCTGACCACCAGGGGGTGGCCCAGAATGAAGGGAGGCCCCAGCCGGCAGCCAGAAGCCACTAGGGACTCTACCTGTGCACAAATTTCATGCACTGGGCCTCTAGTTTGAAATAACAACACGGGTGCTTGATAATATCATGCTAAGAGAAATAAGTCAGAAGGAAAAAGTCAAGAACCATATGACTTCACTCAAATGTGGGATATAATACTGAGAGCAACAAATGAACAAACAAAACAAACAAAACTCAAAGACATAGACAGCAGTATGGTGGTTACCAAAGGGAAAGGGGGGAATGAGGTGGTAATAAAAGGTTAAGGGTGGCTTGCCCAGCTGGCATAGCTCAGTGGTTGAGCATCGACATATGAACCAGGAGGTCACAGTTCGATTCCTGGTCAGGCACATGCCTGGGTTGCGGGCTCAATCCTCAGTGTGGGGTGTGCAGAAGGCAGCCAATCAATGATTCTCTCTCATCATTGATGTTTCTCTCTCCCTCTCCCTTCCTCTCTGAAATCAATAAAGACGTATTTTTTTAAAATGCAGTGGCTTTACACGGCAGTCACTTACTCTTGCTTATACGTCTGCTGGAGGCCAGCTGACCGAGGCTAAGCATGGGCCAGACCTGCTTCCTGTGTCTATCCTCCTCCTCCTTGGGCAGCAACATTTTCTTCTCAAGACAGTGGCAGAAGCACAAGAAGGCAACTGAAAACGCAAATGCCCCTTAAAGACTAAACTGGAACGGGTACCTTGTCACGCCGCCCACTTTCCATTGGCCACGGTAAGGCCCATGTTCAAACCCAACATCCATGCTTCTAGCAGGAAGAATTGCCAAGTCACGTGGCAAAGGGTGCGGCTACAAGGCTACAAAAATTGGAGCCCATAAGTCAACGTACCAAAACATCTAATAGGATTGTACTTCCATCTCACCACATCAGTTCTGTGTGGTTTCCCCCTAAGTATACCAGTAGCACTCTAAAAACATCTGTATTTCCTTCTTTGCCTGACTGAGCTGCATTCTTCTGGTGACAAACAAGCATATCTAATGACTTTTCCTCCTCAGATCCTGGCTTTCTCCAACAGAAACGTTAGGACTGTAGCTGTGTAGCCCTTCCCTTTGGCTATCCCATCCCACATCCCCATTCCCTACATAAATTCAAGTTTTCTTAAATCACCATCTGAGATGGCTACTTAGCCTACCTGAGCACACCATGCTAGCCTACCATGTTCACCTTTCAAGAAAGATGTCTGGGACTTGGGGTCACTCCAGTTTCTTAAATTTACCACTTGGGTGAATATAAAAGCCTGAGAAGCTCAAGGAGTACTCATGTGCCCACTCCAAATGAAAGAAGAGCCTTGAATTTTCTTGAGGAAAAGTCCCCTGATTACATATTTTTAATATGTTGCTGTGTCATTTTAAAGATGATGGTTTTGTTGAGTGTTTGACATATTTTTCCGGCGGCAAAATATATATTTCATTCCCTGTTCTCAAAGAGACTTCATATGGTCCGGGCCCTGTTTTCTTAACCACAGATCAGGTGCACAGCTGATAAGGAGAGAGACAGCGGGAAGGACTACTTAAAACTGGCAATTACTGCATCTGACATATTGCCTATTATTGAGTATTTGTATTCTTCATAATTCTCCTCACGGGGCATCACGTTTTTAATAAACCCAAGGACCTCTGACTGTCTTCCATAGGGAAAACTCTAGAGTCTTAGACAAGGATTTTATATGCAAAATGAGTTGTGAACTCATCATGCTGGTGTTTATCCCCCTAGGTCTGAATCAGTCCCTTCAGATTGGCACTAAATCTTCCTACCAGCCTATGGCAGTCTGCGTGATAATATTTTTCCTTATGAGGTTCCACTTCCACAAACATTGTATCACCTCTAAAGGAAACTTATGTGCCTCTTCCACAGGACTTGGGGCCAGAAACATCCAATGAAAAGATGTAAAAGGTTCTCAGCAATAAGCAGAGGTCAATGTCACTGTTTCTGGGTATCTAGAGCACAATCCAATCCTAAAAAATGTGGGGCCAGAAACATCCAATGAAAAGCTGAAAAGGTTCTCAGCAATAAGCAGAGGTCAATGTCACTATTTCTGGGTATCTAGAGCACAATCCAATCCTAAAAAATAGCATAAAACTCACTGTGCACTATGGCCAGTGTGGCTCAGTTGGTTGGAGTGATGTCCCATGCCCTGAAAGGTTGTGGGTTCATTTCCTGGTCAGGGCACATACCCGGGTGATGGGTTCAATCCCTGGATGGGGCGCATAGGAGAGGCAGCCAAGTGATGTTTCTTTCTCACATTCTCTCTCTCTCTCTCTCTCTCTGTCTCTCTCTCTTTCTCTCCTCTCTAGAATTAATGAACATATCCTCCAGTGAGGAATGAACAAAGAAAGGAAAAGAAAACCTCACTGTGTGTTAGGCCCTATGCTAAGTGCTCTGCATTCACCATCTTAGTGAGTCCTCACAACAGCCCCGTAAGGTAGGTGCCATTGCCTTCCAGGGTACCAATGAGAACACTGACCGGCCAAGGCCCTGAACATATTGGCAGAAGCTGGATTTGGACTCAGATGCATCTGGCCCCTCAGTTTATTTTAACTTTAAAAGGGCTCCTTTACCGTCCTCTTGAGGACAAGGAGGAGTTATAAATGAACTCCCAACCTCAGGCACATTACTGAAGTCTGCAGCTGCTACATATTGTATTGACTCAACAAGAGGAAATTCCTTAAGAATTGCCTTTGAATTCTGCAAGTCCATCAAAGCAAATCCTGAATTATTTCCTCACATTTCCGTATTTCTGCACAAGGGTGGTTCCAAGAGCCCCCTATTTCCTAAGCATAAATATTGAACCCAGGAACCAGATGCCTTCTCCCTGGGCATCTTCACATTGTCCTAATTTTTCTCCCCAAGATAGACAATTCACATAATCACTCTTCTTCTACACATTTTATTCACTGGCTGCCTTCATAGTAATGACATTTTCTTGCTTAAAAAGATGACTTGCATGCCAATATTCATAGCAGCATTCTTCATAATAGCAAAAACAAACAAAACATGGGAGCAACCCAAATGTCCATCAACGACAAATGGACAAATAAAATGTGGTCTACCGATATGATGGAACATGACTCAGCAGTAAAGAGGAATAAGACATTGGTTAATGCTGCGCCATGGATAAACCTCAAAAACATGATGCTGCATGTAAGAAGCCAGCGGGAAAAGAGCACCTGTTGTATGACTCCATTCCTGTGGAGCACTCCGAAAAAGCAAACCTGTGGAGACAGAAAGCAGATTGGTGACTGCCTGGGGCTGGTGATTGGAAAAGGGATTAAGAGGCAGCAGGGATCTCTCTGGGGTGA